GGGCACGTTCTGCATGGAGCACTGGGTGTTATGCACAAACAATGAATCATGGAACATGACATCAAAAACTAATGATGTAATGTATTATGATTAACATAACAATAAAAAATTTAAAAAAAAAAGAAAGAAGAGAAATGATCAGGGTTAATCATCTTCAGTGAGACACAAGCACTGGCCGACCACATAGAGCAATCTCATGAGATTGAAATATCGTGAGAGGAAGTAGGGAAATATCACTCTAAATATCAGCTCTGTCTGAAGGGACTCACTGTGACTGAAGCCACCGGAAAATGGTACAAAAACAGCTGACAATCCCTCACTCATCATTACTGCCCTTGCTTACCTAAACTGGTCAATTGAACTAGCAGCTTTTCGGACTTTTCCATACATTCCTGCCAGATTTGTTTCTGTATCATTAAAAAGAACAGGAACATTTCGGAGCCGTGTGCCTGTTTAAACAAGAAAATAATGAATTAATGTACAAACACCAAAAGCAATGTCCTAACAAAATTATAGTTGAATATATTATTGTATTATAAATGGAAGAAATTCTCAAGGCCAACTTTCTAAGCATTACACAAAGAAGGTGCAGCCATAAAGAAAAGACAGATAAATTTGTTATATAAAATATTTAAACTTCCATATCCACAAAAATAAAAATTAAAAAACTAAAAAAATCATTTCCCCATGAAATTAGCAAAAATTGAAGTTTACAAATACCAAGTGTTGCCAAGAGTCAATATTAATGAGCACTTTCTTCCTGTGCTAGCAAGAGTGAGGTCAGACACCCTTTCTACAATGCTGATGACTCCCAGCTTTCTATCTCCAGCCTGGACCACCAACTCCAGACTCATCTAATCGTCTGTTTTGTTTCCATCTGGATGTCTAACATCACCTGAAGCGCAGGTGCCCAAAACCATGATTCTGACTTCCTGCCCTCCCTGCCAACCTACTCACCCTGCCATTTTCCCCATCTCAGTACATGACAACATTGTTCCATCAGCTCAGGCCAAAACCCTTGACTCCTTTCTTTCTCTCAAACTGCACAACCAATCTACCCGCTCTCCTTTAAAATAAACCCCTGCAAACCCCAATCGGGTTTTAGCTGCCACCATCCCTCACACACATTAATATGATGGCTCCTCTCTGGTCCCCTGCCTCCACTCAGCTCTCTGCAGTCTATTCTGGACACAACAGCCAGAGGCATCTTGCTAAAATGCAGTCAGTCGCCCCTCTCCAGATCCTTCAATGGCTTCCTACTTCATTCAGAGTAAAAGTCCGTACACAGGCCAAAACAGTCTCTTCCAAGTTCTCTGAATTCCCCTTTGACTACTCTCCCCCCTCACTCAGTCTTCTCCAGCTGCAGTGGCCTCCTTGCTGTTCCTGCAACATGCCAGCACTGCTCCTACCCCTGGGCCTTTGCACCTGCTCTTCTCTTTGCCTGGAAACTCTTCCTGCAGACCTCCTTCTAGTTTACCATCACCTTACCTCCTCTGGGACTTTAATAAAGTGCTTTATTTTGCCTTCTTTGGTGTGTGTGATTACTAGTGAGACTGAACATTTCTCTAATCAGAAATACCATAATTTTCTTCTAGATTTTCCATGTTTCGATTTAATATTTAATTCTTCAATCTGACAAGGATTAATTTTGTGTGCAAGAGAAATGAAGGTTTAACTTTACACAAATTCCCCCGAGCTCACCAGCTAGTCTAGCACCATAATGATTCACTGATTTCTGACAGATTATTATATGTTTAATTCTTATGTATTAATTAGGATCTTTTTCTGTGCTATTTTGTCACAGACTAGAATTTTTTTGTTTTTGTTTTTTAAAGTAAGCTCTAGAGGGCGCCTGGGTGGCTCAGTTGGTTAAGCGACTGCCTTCGGCTCAGGTCATGATCCTGGAGTCCCGGGATCGAGTCCCACATCGGGCTCCCTGCTCAGCAGGGAGTCTGCTTCTCCCTCTGACTCTCCTCCCTCTCATGCTCTCTCTCATTCTCTCTCTCGCAAATAAATAAAATCTTAAAAAAAAAAATTTAAAATAAATAAATAAGTAAAGTAAGCTCTAGAGGTGCCTGGGTGATTCAGTCAGTTAAGTGTCCGACTCTTGATTTCAGCTCAGGTCATGATCTCATGGTTGCTAGATCAAGCCCTGCATCGGGCTCCACGCTCAGTGGGGAGTCTGCTGGAGATTCTCTTTCTTTCCCTCCCTCCCTCTCTCTCTCTTCCCCTCTAATAAATAAATAAATCTTTAAAAAAAAAATAAAATTGATTTATATGAAAAGTTAAAAACCAATAAAACATATAAACATATATAGGAAAAAAGTCTGAAAGGAGATATTCCAAAATGTTATCTGAGGGGAACAGATTATTTGGATGATTTTATTATATTTTTGAGATTTCTTTTGACAGCAACCATTTTATCAAAAAAAATATATATAATGTTTTTAAAAAATTAAAAAAAACTTCTATTTATTTTTTTAAAAAGATTTTATTTATTTATTTGACAGAGAGAGAGAGCCAAGTAGGGGGAGTGGCAGAAGGAGAGGGAGAAGCAGGCTCCCCGCTGAGCAGGGAGACCAACGAGGGGCTCGATCCCAGGACTGAGATCATGACCTGAGCTAAAGGCAGATGCTTAGCTGACTGAGCCACCCAGGCACCCCTTAAAAAAACTTTTAATTTAAAGCCAAAGAACTGAGAGATTTGCTGAATGGCTACTTTGTAGACTTTATGAAGCTCTAAGATTAAATACCTGATCTGCTGAAGCTTATACTGAAATCTAACATTTTTCTTGATTATGTATTTTGGGAATCTACAGATTTCTCTATTGAAATTATAGAGCATGGATATACTTATGTGACTATTAACTTTAATATTCATAATTACGGACTAGAAGATTTTTAAAACAAATCTTCCTTTAAGTTTCCCCCAAAGCCCCTTTCTGCCAAATTATCTGCCTTGTCATCAATATCTTGTTCAATGTCCTACGTATTTCATTATGATCACTGTTTCTCAGGTCTCCCTTCTCCAAGTCCCATACTTGGAGTCCACTGTCCTGTTTGCTAAAGATCATGTCAAACAGTGCATGGCTCAGGCCTCACATCAGGAGAAAAGCAGTGCTTTGCTGGATGGAGCTTCTTTTCAAATAAAAATGGTCTTTCTGTAACTTTTCAAAGTCATGTCTGAATTAGCAAGGTTGGAAATTAAGGCAATGCCATGTTCTTTTCAAATTCCTTTTTTTGTTACCTTCGCCATTATCAACTCCAGACATATTAATGGAAGACCCACTGTTGCTACTTCCACTGGCAGAGTTCACCTGCTGCTCGAGGCGCTCCAGCTGGAAGACCAGAGAGTTCTTCTCTGTGCTGAGACTCTCCAGCATGGTCTGCTTCTGGATGAGAGTCTCTGTTAGCTGATGGAGTCGGTTTTCTAACTCAGACTGACTACTGTTGCTTAAAGTTTTGTTAGTAAGCTGAAAGGCAAAGTGTTCATAAAATTATTACATAAAGTAAAAGTCATACAACACAGAATCTACATCCCCACATGTAAATAAAGTGTAGCATCATTCAATTTCTCAAAACTCACTGTCTACAGAAAAGATTTTCAAACTGTATTAACGGGCCACAAAATCAATTTGGTAGGTCACAATCCACATTTTAAAATAGTGATAGAATAGAATAGGACAGAGAGTACACAGCACATAGTATGTAAGAGTACTGTTCTGTGAAACTTTTGTTTAGTGTATTTCTAAGTACATGTGAGTATCGAGACACAAGGTATACTTTACTTCTTACTTCTTACTATTATTCAAAGATATTTGAAAGCATCGATCCACAGGACAGTGTGAACTTCTGGACCGGGATTCAAAACCCTCTATAACTCAGCAGCTGCGGCACAGTGCAAAGGCCACAAACTGAGGTTTTCACCTCTGCTCGGCAGTTTTCTAGCTATCTGACATTGGACAAATTGCTACACCTCTCTGTACATGATGTTCAGGGATACTATTCCATTCTAGTGAGTATCAGTAGAGTGGTATATCCCCCTGAGGTTTTAATTTGCTTCCCCTGATGACTGATGATTTTGAGCACCAACTTACATTCGTATTTGGCCACTCGTTTATGGGTTGTTATTGTTTTTGGCAATGTATGAAGATGCTGATCTCTTTTTAAAATTGTATAAATCAACTTCCTTTTATGAGACAAAGGTTTTCCTCTGTTCTTAGATAAAAAAATCTTTAAGAAATATCCCTCTAAGATTAATTCTTAAGTAACAAAAATAGCACAATATCTTATGCTTAGTAGGCACTCAAAAAACATTTAATAAATAAGGAATGTTTAAAAGGATTAAACCAATTGGTGGTTTATGGTCCTTTCTTTTGACTTTCTGCTAACAAGTCATGTTACCACTTATAAGCACTTCACAAAGGTAGGTGAGGGAAGAATGGAACACTGAAATCAGATGGTCCCAACTCTTACAAAAATTAAAATATTTTAAAATATTTTAAATTATGGACTACTATGAAGTTTGACAACTTAAAAACTAAAATTATTTGACTTTTTATGTTCAAACTAAGTCAGCAGCTAACTAAAAAATGAAGACTCAATTTTTATGTAAATTATTTAAATGATCAATGAGCTCATTATTTATTAAGTCAATAAATATAAGGGATAAAGGACAATGTGAACATAAGGGAGAAAAGGACAAGCTAGAGTTACAAGATAAGGGGATGCATGATTTTGTCACAATTAATGATAAGCACTGGTAAATCTGGGTGGTGGGCACATGTTATTTCTCATGTTTTACATTTTCAGAGTTAAAAAGAAGTCTTGGCGCCTTTATGAAAGACCTATCAATTGTTAATAGGAAGATTTATCATTGGATTTTTCTTAGGAAAGAGAAACGATAATTATGAAACTGGCAATCAGCACAACCAAAGGTATGAAATTTTGGGGTAAGTCACGTGTCCTCGGATGGCTCTGGCTAGAAGACACTTCTAGATGAAGAAGCCATAGAATACAGCAAACACAGACTAAAATGGCATTAGATGAAAATTCTGTATCAGATTGAAAGTAACATCTCACTGTTGTAACAGCAGAACTCCGTTGAAAATATGGGAAAAGGTCTTTCTATATCCTTTAAAAAAAATTAGCTTTGCAATGGTATCTTTTCCCAAGTTGTGAACACTCATTCATACCTGATTCCTAAGTTTTTGAATTTCTTCTTCTCGATCTTTAATCCTGCTTTGCAATGTGTTCTTTGTTCGATATAGATCTTCTTCTATGTAGTGGAACTCCTACAAAGTGAGACATGAATAAACAGAAGCTAAATCAGTGTTCCCCATTTCATCCCCAGCACCTACAACAGTTCCTGACACACATGAGGCACTCAGCCAACACGTGCCGCATCTATACTGAATGAACAAGTGAACAGACTTGGAAGGGTCTGATGAACAGTACTCCAGCATGATGTGTCAAGTCTTTCCATGGTCAGAGGTCTTCATTTTTCTTGGGTAGATATGTAGCGATAGAACTGCTGGATCACATAAGTGTTATGTCTAACTTAAAGGGAAAAACTTGCCAAATTGTTTCTGAACTGGTTTCATATCCCTGCACCGTTTTGCATTCCCACGGCAATATGAGAGAGGTCCAGTTCTTCCACATCCTTCCCAACATTTGGTATCGTCAGTCTCATTAAGTATAGCTATTCCATGGGGATGTCCTGATATCTCGCTGTGGTTTCAATTTGCATTTTTCTAACAATTAATGGTGCTGAGCAGCTCTTCATGTGCTTATTTCTATCAGGCAGTATCCTGAACCTGTTTTGTTCTATCATAGATAAAAGAGGAAAAAAGAAATACCTCCGGGTTCACTAACAACTACACAAACCTGCTGCTGGTTTGTACAATGGATATGATGAGTCGGTGTCAGTTGGAATTTAAGAGCAAAGCACATGCCAGGGAAGAAAGAATAATTAGTTAATTAAGAATCTTCAAAAGCATTATGCTTGGGGCGCCCAGTCGGTTAAGTGTCTGCCTTCGGCTCAGGTCATGATCCCAGGGTCCTAGGATGGAGCCCCGTATCAGGCTCCCTGCTCAGCGGGAAGCCTGCTTCTCCCTCTCCCACTCCCCCTGCTTGTGTTCCCTCTCTCCTCGTCTCTCTCTGTCAAATAAATAAATAAAATCTTTAAAAAAAATAAAATAAAATAAAATAAAAAAGAAAAATGCACAGTAAATTTTATTTATGTGTTTATACGAAAACTTATACCAATCAAGTCTTTAACATGTAAGAAGTAAATCCATATTTGCAAAGCTAAATATATGAAAATACAAAAGCAGACTGAATTATCAAAAAGAAAACATTTTATTTGTATCACTAAATACAATTAGTTTCCCTGATTATAACCCATAATGTGTGTCACCTATAATAGGATGGTCTGTACAGAGGTGAACAAACCCAGCAGGTCTATGTGTATACAAATATACACTGAACCTCTGACTTCAGAAAAAGCAGAGCTGAGCTTATTAAATTATTGTCTGTCTGTTTTAGAAACTCTTACCATTTGAAGGCAATGAGAGGAAGATTTAGGTAGCAGAGTACTTGTATAATAACTTAACGAGTTAAAAGGTTGTAGTGATGAAATAACCTTGTGCACCATTCTCAGTAATTTCAGCCAACGGGTCCTTTTGCAGATCCCAAGTCTGAAAAAAGACAACCAATCACTGAAGTAACTGGGCTCAGTTCATTTGCCATGTGGTTGGTCATGGTGCATTTCTGGTGTATAAGTCAATAGAACAATCATGACCCAGAGGTGAAGCAAAGCCTAAAGAAAGAAAACAATTTACAGATTAGCCAATAAATCAATCTTCACCAAAGGCCCACTGTGTCGTACCCTGGGGGCGGGAACCATGTCTTGTCTTTGCAGTCCTGTGGTTAGCACTGGGTCTCTGCAACCTTGCAAGGGCCCAGTACCTGTTTACTGGATAAATAATGAAGAAACAAACATGCAAACAAATGAGCTAAGTGCAATGGAGGGTAACAGTTTGGATACCTACACAATTCTCAGTTGAGAATTATCAAAGTCGTTACCACATTCATAATATGCATGGGTACACATAAATAACCAATCAGGTGATTATAATGCAGAGTAGATGCCAGGATTAAAATTGCTAGATATACATGAAGTTGGTTGCAAAGGCTTTTTAGAACAGAGTCATGGTGAGTGTTTTTGCAAAAGGGTTTAGCCATGATTTGGTGAAGAGGAGATGGGAAGACATTCCTGACAGGAATAATGTGTCAGGCTTCAGAGGCTGATTTAGGGTCTAGCACAGGACCTACAGTGAGGAACGTGCCCTAGCTCCCTCACAACAGTGCTGAGTATGACACATGGCGCAGGTGTTCGTTATCATCTCCAACACCGGGAATCCATCTGTGTGGCGCCTATTCTAAAACCTTCTTGATGCTGTTCAATTTGTTTCTTTTCCTCTCTCCATCCCTCACTTCTTAAAAAACTTTTTATTTGAAGGAGTAACTCTTCCCTCTAGTGGATCACATAGAAATTTCTAAGTAAGCTTTTTTCTTTTTCAGGAAGACTGCTTGTCTTAACTCAACTAGACGTCCTCAGTCAGAACAGTTAGAAGACTTTTTAGGGTCAAAGGACACATGAAACAGTATCCCAAACCATGGTGACCATTGTATTAGAGCTAAGAAATTGGAAAGAATGAAAATCAGCCTTGAGATCCTTTCAGAATATAAAGTAAAACAAACAAAAATAATAAAAAAATAATCAAAGAAACTTTACATCAACATAAAAATGAAATCAATTGTTTTGCACCATATTTTTGTCATTAGAGGGGCTCAGAAGTGGAGGGAACTATTAAACTGCATTACAGGTAAATTTATTGTAGGACAAGCCTTTGAGCAATTTATATTTTAGATGTAATAACTGTAACTCTACTTGCATCCTTGAGAAAAAAAGTTTTAATGACCAGAAATGAGTTCTATTTTCTTTCAAAACTAATTACTGGACTTTTAGTCAAAATGATCAGCAGCTGAAAAAAACTTGTTAAAAATCAAGTGTAGCATTATTTTTTCAAATAAGTTTACTTACCATATATATAATTACAAAAACTCGTGCTATGGGGTATCTCCGGAGAAAAATTCCCAGGCGGATGCTGTGCAAATGGAGGTGAGGAGGGGGGGAGGAGAGAAAACAGTTACACTCAAAGCACATCTTCCTGTGGTCACAGCTAATGATGCTTTTTAGCATTTCTCTCATTTAAACTATTTATGTGGCCACCATAAAAGAAAAATCATTTTACAGTAGATTGTTAAATGACTACTTAAAATAACCATATGGCAACATCACAGTAAATACTTTCTCTACTGTTTGTGGCTTGACTGTTAAATACAATCTATTTCCCTTAATTCTTCAGCTACAACTATAGGAGGCAAACTCTCTAAATAATTTTTCTTTTAGAGACCAAAGAAGTTAGAAGAAAGAGATAAGGCAAGCGTCAACACAGGAATAGGAAAAAGAGTCTGTTTGGTTAACAAACTTGCAATAGCTAATCTGGAAGCTGGTGCATGGACACATCTTCGAAAAGGCTGAGAACTATAGAAACTCAAGTAAACACTTAACTTAAGTAAATGTGGGAAGAACATGAAGTCCAGACCTGACTACTCATGCCTCTTTGCAACATTTTTTCCCAGTCAAGATAGATACACACACAGGCAAAATACACCTTTCTTCTAGGCCTTTCTGCTTCTTTCACTGCCATCAGAATAATGCCTTGTATCTAGTTTCTCTAAAAATTATAATATAGGTTGAATAAATGAATAGTTGAAATAAATGTGCTTAAATCTGGACATAACGACTATGGCATCTTTGGTCCATGGCCTCAAGAACCTAAGCAAATCATCCTCTTGATTTTTAACATCACAGCTCTATTCTGACACAAAAAGAAAAGACTGCTCTATTTTGCAACAATTCATTATAATTGTGTTTAATTATAAACACTAAGAAGCAAAAGAGTTTAGTGGATTATTTAAACATGAAGTTTATCAAGGCAAACATACACTGTTAAAACATTTTCTTCATGAGGTGCATATCTGCTAGTATAAAGAAGTTACACATATACAATAACATGTATACAAATGATACATTACTTACATAGTATATATAAAGTATATATTAAAACGAATACTGTTCACTTGTACATACTGGCATCTTTTATTCTCATCACATGATAAAGTAATGAAAGAAAATATTCCAATGGATGTATTTACATGAGATAGAGGTTTTCTCACTGAAATTTTAAGAGTTTACTATAGAAAGAAGAGAAATGTGGTTAGGGAGCAAGACGGCGGAGGAGTAGGAGACCTGGATTTCGTCTGGTCCCAGGAATTCAGCTGGATAGGGATCAAACCATTCTGAACACCTACAAACTCAATAGGAGATCGAAGAAAAGAAGAGCAACAACTCTCTGAACAGAAAAGCGACCACTTTCTGGAAGGTAGGACGTGTGGAG